CAAGATAGGTTTTTTAGGTTTGCTCCTAAATTGAATTTGTTTATAAGTCAGAACAGATACTTTTTAAAAGTGTAACTCCAACTATATGAGCCTCTGGTGGCAAAGCAGGTTAAACCGCTGAGCTGCTGAACTTGCTGACCGAAAGGTCAGCAGTTCAAATCCATGGAGCAGAGTGAGCTTTTAAGTCCCAGCTTCTGCCAATCTAGGAGTTTGAAAACACGCAAATCTGAATAGATCAATAGATACTGCTTTGGTGGGAAGGGAACGGCACTCCATACAGTCATGCTGGCCACATGACCTTGAAGGTGTCTATGGACAACGCTAGCTCTCCAGCTTAGAAATGGAGATGAGCACACACCCCACACCCTGAGTCGGGCATGACAAGACTTAATGTCATGGGGAACCTTTACCTTTTACCAGGCATATGTGTGTGTGTCTGAGTTGTGAAAGGAAAGAGCGTAGTCTGTCCCAGGAAACCCCCAAAGAAGTACTGTTCCTCTACCTTCTCTGCTGTAATACTGTCCTTGGCCTTTTTAGCATATGGGTTGGGAAAGCTGGCAGTAGCCAGAGGCAATTAATCCCCTGAAGTGGCACTGGCCATTTCCCCTCTCCATGGAATGACCTTCGGCATACCAATGGGTCATATCAAAATCCATAATTTGGGCCTTCAATTCTTACTCAAATAATACATGGGCAACTTACACACAAGTATATGGTATACCTTTCCATTTTGGTGCTGACCACTTTGTTGCCTGCCTTCCATTCCTTTCCTACCTTTATTCCCCAAGAGTCGCATCTGCCACAACATGCATATGATAGCCTGACTCAGAATCAGTTTCCTCTAAATGCAGTCAGGTTTACCCTTATGTGAACCTAACACTCTTAAAATGCTTCCATAATGCTATGCATTTTAAGCCAACTCATAGGTGACAAAATATTTGAGATCTCCTCTTCAGTTAAGTTATAAGGAGAGGGCGGATATGGAGGAAGATTGTCCTGATGCCTCATTGAGTGAGTTTTGTGCTGGAATGAGATCGTAATGTAGGAAGAACTTTACAAACTCCCTGCTGTGTCAGCTCCACTGGCTGCCAATTTGCTACCGAGCACAATTCAAAATGCCGGCTTTTGCCCAGTGGTTCTCAACCTGTGGGTCCCCATATGTTTTGGCCTTTGACTCCCAGAAATCCTAAAAGCTGGTAAAGTGGCTGGGATTTCTGGAAGTTGTAGGCCAAAACACTTGGGGACCCACAGGTTGAGAACCATTGCTTTAGCCTATAAAGTCCTAAATGGTTCTGGGCTGGCTTACCTGTTAGAACACATCTCTCTCTATGAACCATCCCAAGTGCTAAGTTCTTCTGGGGGGCCCTTGCTCTCGTTCCCACCTTCTTCACAGGTGCGGCTGACAAGGGTGAGGGACAGAACCTTCTCAGTTGTGGCCCCTTGATTGTGAAACTCCCCAGTGAAATTGGATCAGCCCCTCTCCCTCCTATCCTTTAGAAAACAAGTTAAAACCTGGCTATGGAACCAAGCATTTGGAGCACAGCTAGGAAGTGAATGGCAATGTGATTGGAACACCTTCTCAATTATGATTTTAGTCTATATGTAATCTTTTAACAGCTTATTTATGTATTTATCTATGGTAATGTTCTATTATTTTCATGATTTAACACATAATGTATATTGTATTTTTTTGGCCTTGTGTTAATGTGGCATTGAATTATTGCCAGTTAGGAGGTCTCTCTGAGTCCCCTATGGGGTTGAGATAGAGCAGAGTTATTTATTTATTTATCATATCAGAAGCAAACTGAGAGTAAAGTTGTAATGTATTTTAAAAAACACAAAATTTAAAAACTTGCATTATACTAAACATCCTTTGACCAGCGGCTGGCCACTTGGAGTGCCTCTAGTGTTGCTATAAGAAAGTCCTCCATTGTGCATGTGGCAGGGCTCAGACTGCATTGTAATAGGTGGTCTGTGGTTTGCTCTTCTCCACATTTGCATGTCGTGGACTCCACTTTGTGGCGCCATTTCTTAAGGTTGGCTCTGCATCTTGTGGTGCCAGAGCACAGCCTTTCAAGTCACCCAGTCTTTTGTGTGCCCAGGGGGAGTCTCTCATTTGGTATCAGCCATGGCTTGAGGTTCTGGGTTTGAGCCTGCCACTTTTGAACTCTTGCTTGCTGAGGTGTTCCTGCGAGTATCTCTGTAGATCTTGGAAAACTATTTCTTGATTTAAGGCGTTGGCGTACTGAGAGCGGGGTAAAAATACAGTAAATAAATAAAGAAATAACTATGAGGACCCTTTTTGGTTTTACCATTTGTGAAGAACAATCAAACAATTAACAATAAAACTGATAAACATAGAACTATCAATATTAGTAAAGGCGAGAAAATGCTTTTATCTTTTCCTATCCTCCATATTACCAAGGATATATATAATCTTCATTCTTATAAAAATGAACTAAGGAATGAAAAACAAAACTAGGCATTATCATTATGTGCAGTACTGTACATCATTTTACATAAAATTTTACTTGCTACATAGCTTTTAGAAATAACGTAGGAGGATTAACTATATTAACTCTTTTTAATATTGCATCCTTACTTCTAAAAGAGACTATTCCATCATGTATTTTTAACGAGGTGGCGAGCCTTCAGGAGGAAAAAGAAAACAAACTTTAGAATAACTTTATTGTCATTGTACATTGTACAATGAAATGAAATGCCTTCTCCAGTACACATCACAAACAAACACCCATCCGTCCACACTCCAACCACCATCACACAGCCCCCAATGCCACTCAATGCGAGGTTATGACTATTTCATGTTCTTTTCCCACAGGCTTTCACATTTCTAGATCCATGATTCAGTATGTTCTTTGAAGTCTTATCTACATTGGAGGGGGAAAAAATGTGTGGTTGGTTGTGGCAGTTTTGCCATGATGTGCGTGATATATGTGGATTAATGAGAACATTGCAGGGTCAATGCAGACTGGGAAAATGTAGTGCCAAACAGATTTTTTATTAATATAGACAAGTCCAGGGCCACAGAATAGGGGAGTGGAAAGGTATAGGTGAACAGAGTTGAAGGGAGTGTCCTGTTGAGTTTTCTAAAGCTCCTGCGGAAGATGGTGATGAATAACAAAAGAAAAACTAGTCCTTTTCGAATTTCAGATTTTGTTCCATGCTAATCCACAACTGAAAGACATAGGGCTGCCACCGCAGGTGGTTGTTGGTGGGTGGGAACACAAACATAGCAATATGGCATTTCAGTCGTTTTACATTTCTTCAAAGGATTGCAAACAGAAATTCAAATACGGCATGATGCTAAGTTGCGAGTGTATTGCTGTGCGACTTATAAGTAATGCTGCAGAGTCCAGTGAATGACCTACAGGAAGAAAACATCAGAGACAAGGCCTATATCAAACACAAACACCAGGCAGTGGGAAATGGCCTGATTTTGGATGCTGTTAAAGAGGATCAAATATTAGCTATCGGTTAGCATGATTGTATTGCTATTAGCAGGTGTAGGGGTTTGTTGGATCTTCTGCCTCACCTGCCAGTGACTGCCTTGTCATAGGCCCCATCTAAACTGGCATATAATGTGGCTTGAAAGGACTGGGCTTTAGCACAGTGGGTTAAACTGCCAGCTGTAGAAAATCTTGCCAATCGAAATGTCAACAGTTCAGGCCTGTGTTGGGGTGAGCTTCCAGCTGTCAGCCCAGCTTCTGCTCACCTAGCAGTTTGAAAACAGTAAATAGGTACTGCTTTGGTGGCGAGATAATAAAAGGTACCCATGTGGACATGCTGGAAAATGGAGCAACCCTGTGGCTGGAGTTGAGCACAGTCTCCAGTTGCCAGAGATGGAAAAAGATGGGAAGTCTTTATCTCTATTTATGTATGTCTTTGTTAATTGTATGCTGTTGTTTATTCGTTCAGTTGCTTCCGACTCTTCGTGTCCTCATGGACCAGCCCACGCCAGAGCTCCCTGTCGGCCATGGCCACCAACAGCTCCTTCAAAGTCAAGCCAGTTACTTCGAGGATACCATCCATCCATCTTGCTCTTAGTCGGCCCCTCTTCCCTTTTCCTTTCATTTCCCCCAGCATCATTGTCTCCTCCAAGCTATCCTGTCTTCTCATTATATGGCCAAAGTACTTCATCTTTGCCTCTGATATCCTTCCCTCCAATGAGCAGTTGGGCTCTGTTTCCTGGAGTATGGACTGGTTTGATCTTCTTGCGGTCCAAGGCAGTCTCAGAATTTTCCTCCAACACCACAGTTCAAAAATATCTATCTTCCTTCACTCAGCCTTCCTTATGGTCCAATTCTCACATCCATAGGTTACTATGGGGAATACCATTGCTGTAACTATGCGTATCTTTGGGCCCTTCCACACCGCCACATAACCCAGAATATCAAGGCAGAAAATCCCAGAATATCTCTGTACTCTTCACTATTTTATCAAGATTGGTCATTGCTCTCTTCCCAAGAAGTAAACGTCTTCTGATTTCCTGGCTGCAGTCTGTGTCTGCAGTAATCTTCGCAACTAGAAATACAAAGTCTGTCACGGCCTCCCTCTATTTGCCAGTTATCAATCAGTCTGGTTGCCATAATTTTGGTTTGTTGATATTTAACGACAACCCAACTTTTGCACTTTCTTCTTTCTACTTGTTTACTGTATAACGGCCTCCAGAAATCCCTCCTTCTCTGTTATTCTCTGGGCAAACTTGGGCCCTCCGGGTGTTTTGGACTTCAACTCCCACAATTCCTAACAGCCTACCGGCTGTTAGGAATTGTGGGAGGTGAAGTCCAAAACACCCGGAGGGCCCAAGTTTGCCCAAGACCGCTCTAAAGCGCTATTTTCTGCCTCTGTACGGAATAGTAACAGCACTTCCGGTCCCCCATTGGATTCTGACCGGAAACGCGTCCGTCCTTTATCCGGTCCGTCGGGGTGGAGGCTGGGACCGACGTGGCCGAGTTGGAGGGGGCGGGGCCAAGGCTGGAGGGGCGGGGCCAATCCCAAGTGGTGGCGGCGACGCAGCTGGATGGCAGGGGCAGCCCGGAGCTCCCCGCTCTCGCATGGTAGGTAAGCAAAGGGAAAGGGAAAGGGGGGAGGAGGGAAGAAGAGTGGAAAAGTGGGGGTCCTCTTCGGGGATGGCTCTCTTTAGACAGAGTTTTGCGGGACCCGCAACTTTCCCACCCGTGATTGACAGCTGCGCGGGGAAGAGATGGAGGAGCATCAGCAGCAGGGAGAGAGAGAGAGAGAGAGCAGCATCCAGGCAGAAAGGCTCTTTGGCATTCAACTTGCACTTTCAGGCCCCTTCCACACACCCCACATTATCTGCTTTGAAGTGGGATATATGGCCCTTCCACACAGAATATCAAGGCAGAAAATCCCACAATATCTGCTTTGGGCTGAGTTATTATCTGAGTCCACACTGCCATATGTTGTTGTTCATTCGTTCAGTCGTCTCCGACTCTTCGTGACCTCATGGACCAGCCCACGCCAGAGCTCCCTGTCGGCCGTTACCACCCCACACTGCCATATATTCCAGTTCAAAGTACGTCATGTGGGATTTTATTCAGCTGTGTGGAAGGGGCCTGAAAGTGGAAGTTGAATGCGAAAATGTGGGGTGTTACTCAGCTGTGTGGAAGGCGTCGAAAGTGCAAGTTGGATGCAAAAGAGCCTTTCTGGCTTTCTGAGTCGCTAGGAGAAAACAGAATAGATGCCTCATGTGGATGAAGTTCTCAAGACCCATACCTGTCAGATTATTGTACTCGGATGGTCAATCTTGCAAATCTTTTGCCTTTCACTGGTTGGAGCAGCCTACGGATGAGATTTAAATCATTGAATTGGAAGAGAACCCAAGGGCTGTGCAGGAAAACACAATCAAAGCATTCCCGACAGATGGCCATCTAGTCTCTGTTTAAAAACCTCCAAAGTAGGAGGCTCCCCTGGGCTCTCAGGGCCCTTCCACACAGCCATATAATGCAGAATATCAAGGTAGAAAATCCCAGAATATCTGCATTGAACTGGAATATATGGCAGTTTGAACCCAGTTCAAAGCAGATATTGTGGGATTTTCTACCTTGATATTATGGGTTATATGGCTGTGTGGAAGGGCCCTGGGTTATTTGAGTCCACACTGCCATATATTCCAGTTCAAAGTAGATAATATGGGGTTTTATTCAGCTGTGAGGATGGGGCCTCAGGCAGTGTATTCTGCTACCAAACACCTTTGACAGTCAGGAAGTGAATCAAACAAAATACACCAATTCCTCTACACCCCAACATGGTGCATGTTTAGATGAAGATTGTTTCAGAGGAGCCTTAGATGATGTCTTGCTCCAGCTCTTGGTATATACCAGTGGTTATCAACCTGTGGGTCCCCAGGTGTTTTGGCCTACAACTCCCAGAAATCCCACCAGTTTACCAGCTGTTAGGATTTCTGGGAGCTGAAGGCCAAAACACCTGGGGACTCACAGGTTGAGAATCACTGGTATACATTAACCTTTCAAGAGGTTTGCACAATTAAGGCCAAACTCTCCCTTGAGGGCCCTTCCACAGAGCCCTATATCCCAGAATATCAAGGCAGAAAACCCCACAATATCTGCTTGAACTGGGTTGTCTGAGGGCCTTTCCACACAGCTCTGTATCCCAGAATATCAAGGCAGAACATCCCACAATATCTGCTTTGAACTGGATTATCTGAGTCCACACTCAGATAATGTTGGATTTTCTGCCTTGATATTCTGGGATATTAGGGCTGTGTGGAAGGGCCCTTTGAAAGATTTAGCTGAAATGGTAATAGTAGGTGCTTTGGAGGTCTGTCATTCATGTGGTTGCCAAAAGTTGATATTACCCAACAATAGTTTTGGGGAGAGATGGGACATGTTGTGCTGAAGTGTTGGATTGCAACTCCCAGCATTTTGTCATTAGTTGTGCAAGTTAGTGTTTCTCAGGACCCTTCCACACAGCCATATAACCCAGAATAACAAGGGAGAAAATCCCACAATATCTGCTTTGAACCAAGGCCCCTTCTACACAGTTGGACCACAAGTGGTCCGCAAGAACTAAAATATAGTCTGCAGCCTCACCATTACTGCACCATTGCAATGAGAGCTACCGATCTCACAAAACCCTTTTATACTGCTGAGGCTTATTAAATATGTTTTTCTGTGGGCGAGCAGATGGCAACTATTTGATGGCATATATTCTGTAATAGAAACTAGAGATGATGTGTTCTATCCAATGCAATTTTTCTGAATCAGCACCCCAATTAACCAAACCAAATCTAAAGTTGACCAAAAACTAATTCGTAACCCTTTTGATACTAATGTTGGAGAATGGTCCCTGGTCAAGTGGTCCCTGGTCAAAAAAGGTTGGGAACCACTAGTTTATATATGTTGTCTATATATGTTGTGTGTCTATGGCATTGAATGTTTGCCATGTATATGTACATTGTGTATGTACATTGTAATCCGCCTTGAGAAGGTCGGAATATAAATACTGTAAATAAATAATAAATAAATATCTATCTATGGATGGGAAAGGTGTTTGTTTTGGTATCTCTGCAGGAGATTTCACCTTACTTTCTGTCACTTTCTGTCCTTGTGATAATTGAATTTTGTAACATTTGGCTTGTTGTAGGAACAAAGATTGGCAATAAAGCTTCAGTGAAGACACCTTTTCCCCATGACAACTCTTTCAGGAGTGGATTTCCCTCCTGAGGGTTAGATTTCTCTGACTTTCTGTTGTCTCACCCCCATTCGTAACTAGGAGTCATTTGTAAGTTGGATATACTTTAAATTGTTTGTAATAGAGGAAGGAACTATCACTGGGTATTGTAAAAACATAGGCCCCATCTAATAATAATAATATTAATCATCATCATCATCATCATCGTCGTCGTCTTTATTTATACCCCACCACCATCTCCCCAATGGGGACTCTACACTGCCCTATAATCCAGTTTCTGATTCCAGATCTGCTTTGAGCTGGATTGAATGGCAGTGTAGACTCATATAATCTAGTTAAAAGCAAATAATCAGGGATCAGGTACTGGATTATATGGCAGTGTAGATTCAACCATAGTAGAACAGGAGCTCAGGGTGAGAACTCCTCTCACTTTTATATGCTGCTTGGTAAGTGTAAGAAATCATCTCTCTCAAATATTGAAAATGGTACTATTGTTCACTCAGACCCCTTCTAGATTGCCATCTAATCCAGACTATTCAATCAGATAATCCACAATAACTGCTTTGAACTGAATTATATAAGTTCTACACTGCCATTCAATCCAGCTCAAAGCAGATAATCTGGTTTTATATGGCAATGTAGATGAAGCCTCAGGTGAGTTCATTAAAGTTCCCTTCACTTCTTGAGAAATCCCAAGTTAAGTAGCTACAGGTAGCTTACTTGTGGCCAGAGCTGCGTGTTTCCCATTATTCTCTGAAAGTGGCAAAAGCGTCCACATATTGTGAGGGCTGCAGAATTATGGTTCTGGAGAAGCTCATCTTATATTTGTGTTTCTAACATTTGTAACTTCGATTTCAGCAGTCAGAGGCATGTATTGTCGAAGGCTTTCATGGCTGGAATCACTAGGTTCTTGTGGGTTTTTTCGGGCTATATGGCCATGTTCTAGAGGCATTTTCTCCTGACGTTTCGCCTTCATCTATGGCAAGCATCCTCAGAGGTAGTGAGGTCTCATGCTTGCCACAGATGCAGGCAAAACGTCAGGAGAAAATGCCTCTAGAACATGGCCATATAGCCCAAAAAAACCCACAAGAACCTAGTCAGAGGCATGGTTGCAAAAAGCATCCCAGGAAATGGTTTTCAGAGTTCAGCATTGCCTCTTTCCCTTCTCTGTGATATTGTTATGTAAACAAAGTAAAGGTGCACCTGTACTGTAGAATTAATGTGTGTTGACACCACTTAACTGCCATGGCTTAAAGCTATGAATTTGTATTTTGTGAGGAAGCAAGTACTTTTTGGCAGAGAAGGCTAAAGATTCTGTAAAATGCAACTCCCAGGATTCCATAGCATTGAGCCATGGCAGTTAAAAGCGCTGTCAAATTGCATTAATTCTACAGTGTGGATATGCTGTAAATTATGCAAGGCAGCCAATGTTTCAGAATGAACTGTGGAGATTAAAGCAGAGAGTTCTGTTAGACCTCATCACACTACAGAATGAATCCACTTTCAGTCTAGTTTCTGCCTCCTGCAAAATTCTGGGGTTTGTAGTTTAGTGAGGCTGTTAAAGGTGATAACACCAAATTGGGAGGGATAGCCAATACTCCAGAAGACAGGAGCAGAATTCTAAATGATCTTAACGGATTAGAGAGATGGGCCAAAACTAACAACATGAAGTTCAACAGTGAGAAATGCAAGATACTCCACTTAGGCAGAAAAAATGAAATGCAAAGATACAGAATGGGGGACAATGCCTGGCTCAAGAGCAGTACGTGTGAAAAAGATCTTGGAGTCCTCGTGGACAAGTTAAACATGAGCCAACAATGTGATGCCGTGGGAAAAAAAGCCAATGGGATTTTGGCCTGCATCAATAGCAGCATAGTGTCTAGATCTAGGGAAGTAATGCTACCCCTCTATTCCGCTTTGGTTACACCACACCTGGAATATTGTGTCCAATTCTGGGCACCACAGTTGAAGAGAGATATTGACAAGCTGGAATGTGTCCAGAGGAGGGTGACTAAAATGATCAAGGGTATGGAGAACAAGCCCTATGAGAAGCAGCTTAAGGAGCTGGTCATGTTTAGCCTGAAGAAGAGAAGGCTGAGAGGAGACATGATAGCCATGTATAAATACGTGAGAGGAAGTCACAGGGAGGAGGGAGCAAGCTTGTTTTCTGCTGCCCTGGAGACTAGGATGCAGAACAACGGCTTCAAACTACAAGAAAGGAGATTTCATCTGAATATTAGGAAGAACTTCCTGACTGTGAGAGCTGTTCAGCAGTGGAACTCTCTGCCCTTGAGTGTGGTGGAGGTTTTTAAACAGAGGCTGGATGGCCATCTGTCAAGGGTGCTTGGAATGCAATTTTCCTGCTTCTTGGCAGAGGGTAGGACTGG